TTAGTACCATTTTGCCAAGCATATGAATATTAAACATTGTTTTTGCTGATATATGATAAAAATGAACACCAAAAAGGGACAAAGAAATCTCTTAATTTAATTAAATAGTACAGTTCTCTTATACTTGCACCTGCAGTTGCAGAAAACATTTCTCTCAAAGGTGGTATTTTGACACCAGCAGTGGTGTAGTTATGAAGTGCATAATCTGGCCAATTAAAATCTCACTGTGGCTGGCAGGAAACATCCTCTAAACAAGATGAATGTGTCATGAAATGAATTCTATGTCTTTGCTTAGTCAATTTTAAACTTTTACTTCCATGTTTTAATCATGATTGAGTTTCTCAATATATTGAGTTTTTTTTTTTTTTTTGATAACAAATAGGGAATGTAAATTAATTTGTTTATATGCATTACACATTACACACTGTGTTAGTATAGACAGAATTTTGTGAAGTTTTCTGTTATAAGGGGCTTGATTTACTAAGGTATTAACACTGAAGACTAGGCAAGCAAATAGAAAAGGTGTGTGTATTCTGTCTTGAATTGTGGTGTGTTTATTTCTGAAATGTTGCCTCTGCAGAATCATCCTGTAATAAAGACTAGGAGCTGCTGCTTCCTCTCCTTGTGCAGGGTGACTAATTTTATATCTACCCCCTCCCATGGTTTTCTGCAGGAAGCCCGTAGTGATGAGCTTTGCACAGACTATATGCAACACAGAAATTTCAAAGGCATCTGGTGCACACAAAGTAAATGTATGCTCATTATGGAATGAGGAATACATTTGAATGAACATTTTATGTGTGAGATTTAGCTTTAAAATTGCTTATCATGCTATAGATCTGTGATAATGGAGCAGGGATTACTTTGTTATTCCATGTGACACTGCAGTGAATATTATTAATTATACATTTTGTGGATTATTTTGCTTAAAATATAAGTGTAATTGTACATATTTAAAAGTGGAATCTTTTTTTGTCACTTAAAATATACATAAGCAATTAGGGCTCACTAGATGCATTCAATAATGTAGTACTTAGTTTCCTTCACATTAATTACTGTGTGAAGCAATAAAAGCATTTTAAATTGAGGATTTGTTGTCATGTCAAAATCTTAAAATACAGTATATGTATAGTATGTTCATGAAAAACTACCTTCTCATTACAGCTGTTGAGGTTGGAAGCTCCTACAACATCGTTCATGTACATTGAGGACAACACCTAATGCTGGACTGCTGTCAGCAAAGTAAAGATTGGTCATTTTTTTGTCATCTAGAGACAAACAGCAATAGTCACATTTAACGACTTTCTTACACTATTGCATTCATTCTTACGACTGTCCATGCTGCCTTGATGGCAGCCACACTTTACAAGGCAATCACTTCTATCAACTTGTTACAGAAAATATATTATTTTCAAGAAATACTCAGAGGTGCCGGTGAAAAAATTCTTACCATTACAATACTATAATGATGTGGACTATAAAAAAAACACTTCAAGCAAGACACCACAGAAGACATGTTAAAGTCTTTTAATAAATGAATAATTTAAAAAGTAAAATTACTCTTGCATGTAGAAGTGGAGTAGGAAAAAAAAAATATTTTTTAAGGTACCATGATAGTAGGCACTCTGGAGTCAACTATGCAAAAAAAAAAAAAAACACATTATGGGGGAACAGTAAATACCTTCCACTAAGGAGAGGATAATTCCATCAAGGTAGTTCTGTGGAAGAAATGTATTTTGGAAACAATAAAATTAACCAGGTCAGACAGAAACTCCTACAACATCCTTCACGTACATTAAGGACAACACCTAAATCTGGATTGCTGTCAGCAAAGTAAAGATTGGTAATTTTTTTGTCATCTAGAGACAAACAGCAATAGCCACATTTAACGACTTTCTTACACTATTGCATTCATTCTTACGACTGTCCATACTGCCTTGATGGCAGCCACACTTTACAAGGCAATGACTTCTATCAAGTTGTTACAGAATATATACTCTTTTGAAGAAATACTCTGTGGTGCCAGTAAAGCAATTCTTATCACTACAATACTATAATGATGTGGACTATAAAAACACTTCTAGAAGGACACCACAGAAGACATGTTAGAGTCTTTTATTAAATGCATAATTTAAAAAGTAAAATTAATCTCACATGTAGAAGTGGAGTAGGGAAAAAAAAACATTTTTATAGAACACACCTTGGAGTCAACTACAAAAAAAAAAAAATATGGGAAACAGTAAATACCTTCCATTGAAGAAAGGACAATTCCATCAAGATAGTTGTAATGAAGAAATACATTTCGGAAACAGTAAAATGAGTGATTCACTTACAAGTCTGCCTACAAAAAATAGTGAATATTTGTGCAAGACTGCTAAACAAGACATGTTGCAATCAATGGCTCAAGAAATTAAATATTTGGGAAGAGTATTGCTGTTAGTTGACTCAACATTATTAAGCTGGTATAAATTAAGAGATGGAATACTTTCAGCAAGAATAGGAAATACACACTCAAAACTGTTCTCGAAATCACCAATTTCTAGTTGCTGAAGAGAAACAAACATCACAGGGAATAGTTGTAAAATATCACTTACTACAGAAAAACAAATGTAAATGTGAGCCAAAAAAAGATATATTGCATGGCATATATTTTTCGGACTCTACTTTTATATACTTATGTTCTCTACAACATCTGCAGCTGCGTACTTTCTTCCAGTAGAGGCTGCTATTCTATTTGATAGTGCTACAGGAAAGATTGTTTTAGCAAGTAAGAATTACAAAACACTTTAATCTAATCCAATGGTGATTAGAGGTTTGAAAAATATCTAAGGTCTGTAAACAACTGGTGACAAGTTATGTAGTTTAAGCTAACTTTGGAAGCTACTTTATAGTGTTTTATTAAAGAGATGTGTTACAAATCAATGAGTGAAACTTGGTAAAATGACAAAATGTTGTGTGTGTTTATGCACATGTGTGACTGTCTGTTTTACAAAATGTGAATGTTTGAAATAAATAGTGATGAAAAAAAAATGAACACAAATAAAATATGATAAACAATGGGACTTCCATTTGAAGTGATGTAAAGGAGAACAACCTTTGCAAACCCAAGAGCTTACATTACGTCTATGTACATAACACAGACTTGCACTTGGCTTGTTTCTAAACTGATGTAATGTGTTTGCCTGGTTTCACATATCAGTCATATCAATCTTTTCTTTGCTATGATGGATTTATTACAAAAGAGAGTGAAGCAAAAAAGCAGCAATGCATTGTCTGAAGATGGATTTGAAATGAGTATGGTATGACTGCTATAATTTGCATTGCTGACTTTATAAATAACACTTAAAATTATTACTAGTCTTGTTCTACTAACAAAAATGGAAAATCAAAATGGACATGATATCACCTTCCATAAGACCAAGAGGAGATGAGGTATGTATTTAAAAAAGACCAGAGGAGAAATGTATTTTTTTTTATTTAAATTAATGTAAAAAAAATACTATATATACATTAACAATGTGCTCAAAATTTACAATTCATATGGTTCCTACCCTCAAGGAGTATACAATCTAAAATTCCTATCTCACAGGTACCACATACTAGGGCCAATTTAGGCCAATACTTACCATCTTGTCTTTGGAATGATGGAAGAAACCCACACAAACAGAGAGAGAACATGCAAGCTCTATGCAGATAGCATCCTGGTTGGAATTTGAATTAAGAACCCCAGTGTTGAAACATAAAACCATGAAGCCACTGTGCTGTCCAGAGTTTTCTACTCAGCATCAAACTGAAACCTGCAGCTGCTATTCACTGGCTGCAAAGTGGGATCTCAAATTGGTGCACTCGAATCTAATAATTCATTTGACAATAATAACATAATGCCAATTCTGGGCGCATACCTTAAAAAAAAATTAAAAACAAAAGCTATTGTATACAATTAAAGCATGTGGTTTTGATTCTAAAGTCTACAGGTGCCTGATTTGTAATATTCAGATGGCACAGATCTTGTAAAGAGGTCATTTAGACACCCTTGGTATTTTTTTTTTTTTTTTACCATGATTTATTATTCACCTTTAAAGCACTCCAGTCGTTATGTATGATTAACAAACAACCTCATATATGAAAAATCTAAACACAAATATTCAAAATCAAGCAGTAGTTTTATTGCCAACAGTTGGGTAACAGTTATCTGTGAGCAATCCCCGATTTCAATGTTGTCTAGGTGACTGTCACTGACTTTTTATAATTGGGCACTCTCCAGGTTTCAGTTTTAAAATGACAGTTAAGAGCATTGATTTTCATGATTGAAAGTTGTACTTCTATTATATTAAGGCATCAAGGAAACATAATTGGCTTTGTATCCATTGTCTATTATGTATGTCAAGATACAGTGAAAGAGAATTCAAAACATATGTGGAAGTTGTAATGCATACTGAAGCAAAGTGGAAATCACTTTCAGTGTTTACTTTACCAGTGGCAAATAATCAGCCCTGAAAAATTAGTTTTATTGTCTTTTATTTATAACTGAATTTCAAACAGGTATAATATAGAAACCATTAAATGTTCCCTGAGGATGTCCTGCTGCAGATGAAATGTGCATAGAAGCGTAGGTGTATAACAGTGTGGCGTTTGAAGTTTTTAACCTGTGATATTTGTGAGTAACTATTCTTACTTAACCTGTCTAGCGGTCTGATTATGTCCATATTTCTGTGCTCAAAGCGGTAAATTTTTTTGCATGGAAAAAGGGATTTTGTTTATTGTAGGCCTGTAATTTTTAGGAATAGCTCACTGAAATCTGTCCAAACAAGAGTCTAGTAAACATCCCGGGTAGGATAAAATTTGAAACATGAAATCATAAATTATAATTTAATAAATAATCATAAAAAATAATAATATAATAATAAATGTAATTCAATAATTTAATCAAACCAAAAACACTGAAATTTGAAATATAGCGCCAAGTTTGCACATCACTGAGCAAAGTCGCAAAATCGTTTTCAGTGTCTGATGACGAATTTCCCCACGAATCATTATCACTCAATTCTGCAAGTGGTTCTAATTTACTATCGCTGTTCTCTAGCTGGTCTAAAACCGATTTTGACCTAAAGGGATGCTTTTTGGACGCCATGGACATTTCTCAGTTTCCAGGCCGAAAGAACAGTAAAAATGTAGGCAGGACACAGGACAAAGCACTAGGGACAAAATGTATGTGAAATGGTTTGATACAGTAATGTTTTAGTGTATTATTTATTATTACAGTATTTATAAAGCGCCAATAGTTCGCTCAGCGCTGTACATTACAAAGGGGGACAGAACATGTGACAGAACAATACCAATACAATGTGATACACGAGGGGTTCGAGGGCCCTGCTCTTTCGAGCTTACAATCTAGGAGGGAGGGGATGGTGGCACAGGAGGAGATAGCTGTGGGGGATGGAGTGGTGGGAAGAGTGGAGGAGGTCGGCAAGTTAGCAGTGGGGTGGGGTAGGCTTCCCTGAAGAGATGGGTTTTCAGGGTGCGCCTAAAGGAGAGGAGAGTAGGTGATAATCTGATGGGTTGGGGCAGGGAGTTCCAGAGGATGGGTGACATCATGGAGAAGTCCTGGAGGCGGGCATGGGAGGAGGAGACCAGGGAACTAGAGAGAAGGAGGTCTTGTGAGGAGCAGAGTGTGCGTGCTGGGCGGTACTTGGATATTAGGTCAGTGATGTAGTTCGGGGCAGTATGGTGGACAGCTTTGTACGTCAGCGTTAGGATTTTGAATTTGATCCGTTGCGCAATCGGAAGCCAGTGGAGGGATTGGCAGAGGGGGGTGGCGGAGACAGAGCGGTTGGAAAGGTGAATGAGTCTGGCAGCCGTATTCGGGATCGACTGAAGCGGGGATTGCCAGCGGCGAGGCGGCAGGCCAGTGAGGAGGGAGTTGCAGTAGTCGAGTCGTGATATGATGAGAGAGTGGATGAGCTGTTTAGTGGTTTCTGGGGTTAGGAACGTGCGGATTTTGGCGATGTTGCGGAGGTGGAGTCTGCACGAGTTTGTTAAAGATTGGACTTTGGGCTGGAAGGATAGGTTGGAGTCCAGAATGACACCCAGTACTCTGGCCTGCAGGGCGGGTTTGATGGTAGCGTTGTTGGATGTGACGGAGAAATCAATGGGGGGTGGTGTCCGGGCTGGGGGGAAGACAAGAAACTCGGTTTTGGAGAGGTTCAATTTAAGGAAGTGGAGCGACATCCAGTCTGATATGTCGCTCAGTAGGTGTGTGATTCGGGCTGAGACCAATGGGGTGAGGTGGGGGGTTAAGAGATAGATTTGTGTGTCGTTGGCATAGAGGTGGTAGTTGAAGCCGTGAGAGTGTATGAGTTGGCCAAGGGAGGAGGTATAGATGGAGAAGAGAAGGGGGCCCCAAGGACAGAGCCTTGAGGGACCCCAACAGAGAGGGGGAGTGAGGGGGAGGTGGTAGCATTATAGGTAACGCTGAAGGAGCGTTGTGACAGGTAGGATGAGAGCCAGGAGAGAGCAGAATCTCTGAGGCCGAGGGAGTGTAGTTTTTTTGAGGAGGAGGGGGGGGTGGTCGACTGTGTTGAAGGCCGCAGAGAGGTCAAGGAGTAGGAGCACTGAATAGTGCCCATTAGCTTTGGCGGTTAGCAGGTCGTTGGAGAGTTTGAGTAAGGCAGTTTCGGTGGATTGTAGGGGACGGAAGCCGGACTGTAGGGGATCGAGGAGGTTGTTGTCGTTGAGGTGAGAGCATAGGCGGGTGTAGACTAGGCGCTCGAGGAGTTTAGATGTAAATGGGAGCAGGGAGATGGGTCTGAGGTTGTTCGGGTCATTGGGGTCCAGGGAGGGCTTTTTAAGTATGGGGGTGATGTGTGCATGTTTCAGAGGGGAGGGGAAAGTGCCTGAGGAGAGGGAGAGATTGAAGATGTGGGTGAGGGAGCGTAGGATGGAGGAGGAGGAAGGTCGTAGGAGTTGTGAGGGGATAGGGTCGAGGGGGCAGGTGGTGAGGTGGGCATCAGAGAGGATCTTGGAGACTTCCTCAATGGTAGTAAGGTCAAAGGTGCGGAGTGTGGGGGGAGCTTCAGTATGAGGAATGTAGGGTGGGGTGGAAGAGGAGGTCAGAGCAGTGGTGGGGCCGTGGGAGAGGGGTGATGAGGGGGTAGCTGAGTGAGGGTGAAGGGGGTTGGAGAGAGCTTGAGCAGTGACGAAGTCCCTGCGGGTTATGTCGAGGGGGAGGGGGGATAAGGGGGTAGCTGTGTGAGAGGGGACGGTTTGAGAGGGTGTGTGAGTTGCGGCAATGTCCTTGCGAATTGTGTCAATCTTGTTTTTGAAGTGATTGGCAATCTCAAGGGCAGTGAGTGAGGTGCTGGGTGGAGGTGGGGGTGGAGAGAGTAGAGAGTTGAAGGCAGAGAAGAGTCGGCGAGGATTGGAGGAGAGGGCCTTGATGAGGGTCAAGAAGTAGGCCTGTTTGGCAGCATGGAGGGAGGAGGTGTAGGTGTGGAAGGCAGATTTGTAGCGGGTGAAGGCTTGTTGGGATTTGGTTTTGCGCCATAGTCGCTCCAGGGCACGACTTTGTCGTTTGAGGGTTTTGGTGTGATCAGTCTGCCAGGGCTGGAGCGGTCGGGGTCTGATGTTGCGTGTGGTTAAAGGCGCTAGTGAGTCAAGGGCTGTTGAGAGCGCATTGTTGTAGGCGGTCAAAGCCAAGTCAGGGCAGGACAGGGGGACGATGCGGTCCTGGAGTTGATCAGCTGCAGAGTGGAGTGTATTTAGTGAATGTCACTTTTTGTCATTTTCAAATTTCCCGCCATTTCATCCCCCGTACGTCCCGACGCTCGCAGGGGACGGAATCCAGATGACAGATGTCGGCATCCGCCAGATTACATTGCCGGGGACACTGCAGGAGGGACATCGTGGGAGCGCAGGACAAGGTAAGTGATCGAGGGATCACGGAGCAGCGCCGCATGGTAAGCCCGAGTGTAGCTCGGGGTTACTGCTTGTGGTATTGAAACTTTACCCCGAGCTACACTTGGGAATACCACCAGGGAGGTTAAGAAAGAAGTGTTTTATCTTTATTACCCTATTTTGGGTTGCTTTTCTTCCTATTATTTCTGAGTTGAGCTTTGCCTCCTAGAGTTTTGGCTGTGTTCCAGAAGGAGAAACACATGGAAGCATACAGCAGATCCGGAGGGGTTTAACCCTTTTCGCAAGTGCATCAGATCTCTCTTTAATATAGAGATCATATATTTCTGGTAATAGGCTGACACTTTTGGTGGTTTGGAAAATTGGCAGCACTGAATGTTTGACTTTAACACACAAGTGCTACAGTATACAGTATTATGTTTTAGAGTTATTACACCCGAGGACAGCTGTGCATTTCAGGATATTGGCTTTATCCCAGAAGGAGAAATATATGGAAACATACAGTGTGTCCGGCAGGGTTTAACCTTTTTCACAAGTGCAGCTGATATCTATAACGTTGAGATTGTTGGGAGCACTGAATGCTTGATTTAAATGCACAAGTTTCATATAAATATCAAGAGTAGGCGAGCACTGGAACTATAAAGCAGCTAGCACCAAGATATAGGTAACAACTCCTTATGGATAAATATATAGAAAGTGCAGCGCTAAAATAAGTGATTGATATTATAGTGAAAATAAAGTGCAAAGTCAATCTGACATATAGCAAAATATTGTGAAGTGATCCAATAGGGAATCCACCACCTCTGTCAGATGTACACTCACCAGACTGGTAAACAGCATGTAAGCACATCTCATCTGGGTACAGGTAACAGGATTCCACAATCCATGTGGAAACAAGTAAGAATAAAGGTAAAATGGAGTACCAAGATAGCTGCCGTTTTGACTTTCGGCAACGGCGGTTTGATGTCAGCAAGTGCGGCTCCACCCAATAGCATGCATTAGTCTACGTGGACACTGGTTGTGGACTTTATTTGCATAAGTTTTCTGAACAATTTTGTTGAGTTCATTTTTGATTGTACTTTATATTTTCTAATCAGTGAATTTTTTTTAAATGAAAACACATAAGAAATACAGTATATTTTAATGTGCAACCCAAGCAGGCACAGGGAGAACATGCAAACTTCAGGTAGGTGGTGCCATGGTTGGGATTCAAACCAATGACCCTAGTACTGCCAGGCGGAAGTGCTAACCATTTAGCCATTGTGTTGCTCTGTTATATACTGTATATATCAAGATACAGTTAAAGACAATTTATAACAGGGGTCCTCAAACTGCGGCCCGCCGAGGACATTTATCTGGCCCACTGGGCAGGGGCGTATCTGCCGCAAGGCAACCTAGGCATTTGCCTAGGGTGGCCCTTTTTAGGGGGGCGGCACGGCAGCAGTGCCGCCCCCCCTTTTCCCACTAAAGGGACACTACCGTGGGAAAGATACAGGGGCATGGCCGCCATGGCTGAGGAACCGGCTGCAGAGGAGAGCGGAGTGGTGGGCAATTCCCCGGAGTCCTCTCGGAGCGCGTGAGGGACGGGGCCCTCTGTCAGTGTGCCGGTATCCAGGTGAAGGCCAGAAGGAGGAAGCAGAAGAGGACAAGGTCAGGGGGTGGAGCCGACCCGCTCCTTTGCAGCCGCCACCGGAGAACAAGGGGGAGAAGGGACACAGGCACCCGTCCTGGAATGATCCTGACACCATCTGGAGGAGCCGCTGCTGGACAGGTAAGTGCTTGGAGGACTGGTGCTCCCTCGGTCCTGTCTCACTCTCCCCTGATACACTGCCCCCCACCTGTTCTACTTCCCTCCCCCATCCCATTGCCCCCCATCCATCACACTGCCCCCTGCCCCCACATGTCACCCTGCCCCACACCTGTTCCACTTCCCACTCCTGTCCCCCACATTGTCCCACTACCACCCATCTGTCCCCACTGCCCCCCACCTGTCCCACTGTGCTCCTCCTGTCCATCTGCCCCTCACCTGTCCCTCTGCGTTCCTCCTGTCCAACTTCCCCGATCCTGTCCCATGTCCTCTGTCATGCTGCCCCCCACCTATCCCTCTGCGCTCCTCCTGTCCCACTGCCCCTCACCTATCCTTCTGCGCTCTTCCTGTCCATCTGCCCCTCACCTGTCCCTCTGCACTCCTCCTGTCCAGCTGCCCTGATCCTGTCCCATGCCCCCTGTCACACTGCCCCCCGCCTGTCCCTCCTGTCCCACTGCCCCTCACCTATCCTTCTGCTCTCCTCCTGTCCCTCTGTGCTCCTTCTCCTGTCCCACTGCCCCTCACCTGTCCCACTGCGCTCCTCCTGTCCCACTGCCCCTCACCTGTCCCACTGCGCTACTCCTGTCCCGTTGCCCTGATCCTGTTCCATGCCCTCCTGTCACGCTGCCCCCATCTGTACCTCTGTGCTCCTCCTGTCCCACTGCCCCTCACCTGTCCCAATACACTCCTCCTGTCCCACTGCCCCTCACCTGTCCCACTGCCCCCACCTATCCTTCTGCCCTCCTCCTGTCCCACTGCCCCTCACCTGTCTCACTGCGCTCCTCCTGTCCCATTGCCCCCACCTATCCTTCTGCACTCCTCCTGTCCCTCTGTGCTCCTTCTCCTGTCCCACTGCCCCTCACATTTCCCACTGTGCTCCTCCTGTCCCACTGCTCCTCACCTGTCCCACTGTGCCCCTCACCTATCCTTCTGCACTCCTCCTGTCCCTCTGTGCTCCTTCTCCTGTCCCACTGCCCCTCACCTTTCCCTCTGCGCTCCTCCTGTCCCACTGCTCCTCACCAATCCCACTGTGCTCCTCCTGTCCCACTGCCCCTCACCTGTCCCACTGCACTCCTCCTGTCCCACTGCCCCTCACCTGTCCCTTTGAGCGCCTCCTGTCCTGCTGCCCTGATCCTGTCCCATGCCCCGTCACTCTGCCTCCAACCTGTCCCGCTGCGCTCCTCCTGTCCCACTGCCCCCTACCTGTTCCTCTGTGCTCCTCCTGTCTAGCTGCCCTGATACTGTCCCATGCCCCCTGTCCCACTGCCCCTCACTTGTCCCACTGTGCTCCTCCTGTCCCACTGTCCCTCACTTGTCCCAGGGGCGTATTTGCCACGAGGCAAACAAGGCTTTTGCCTAGGGCGGCACTTTTCAGGGGGTGGCATGGCGATGTAAGTATAATTGGTGTCAGTGGTAGTAATAGTGCCCCATCATATTCCTCCCACGATTCCTCTCACTGATACCAATGATGGGGCACTATTCCTCACACACTGACACTAATGATGGGGCACTATCATTGGTGTCAGTGGGAAGAATAGTGTTTCATCATTGGTGTCAGTGGGAGGAATCGTGCCCCATCATTGGTGTCAGGGGGAGGAATAGTGCCCCATCATTGGTGTCAGGGGGAGGAATAGTGCCCCATCACTGGTGTCAGTGGGAGGAATAGTGCCTTATCATTGGTATCAGTGGGAGGAATAGTGCCCCATCATTGGTGTCAGTGGAGGAATAGCGCTCCATCATTGGTGTCAGTGGGAGGAATAGCGCTCCATCGGTGTCAGTGGGTGGAGCTCTAATAGGAAGAGGTGGGGCCTAAAGAGGAAGGGGTGGAGTTTGCAGATGAAAGGGTGGGGCAAATTTAGATGTGGGGGGGCTGCCCGATTTTAGTTTTGCCTAGGGCAGTACAAAACCAAAATACACCACTGCGGCAGTCTTTGGTCATCTCATGTACTATGTCCGCAGTCTCTGGTCATCTCCTGTACTGTGTCCGCATTTGTTCATAGTTTTTTTTTTTTTTAAACTATAGTCCAGCCCTCCAACGGTCTGAGGGACAGTGATCTGGCCCCCTGTTTAAAAAGTTTGAGGACCCCTGATTTATAACATATGAGGAAGTTGTATTGCATGCTGAAACAATGTATGTATGCTGAAATAATCAGCCCTGATAAATATGTTTTATTTAAAATGGTTGTAAACCTCAAACATGAAATATGAACAAAGCATATCCCTCTATATTGTGTACTTGTCTCAATTAAGAACACTAAGAATAATTTCTGTCTGCTGCTTCAATCCACTGTTATCAGCATGAATTACATCTGACAAGTTTTTCCTGACACCAAGAGAAAAATGGTGACAGGGGTGAGACTTCCAGCCGATTGACAACCTCGGCTCTGTTCCTATGTGCTGTGTGTAGGGGGAGTATGTCCCTTCCCTCCTATCATCTCTCAAAGCTCTCCTCACTGGGCTCTGCAGAGTGTAATATCAGCTCTCTTCCCCCTTTTTTCTGAACTTTCAAACAAGCTTTTTAAATTCAGCATGTTGAATGGGTGTAGAGAAGAGAATAAAGCAGATAAACAGGTACAAAGTATGTAAGAGAATTTGTTTAATCTCTGTGTATCACCCGAGACTAGTCACTTCATTGTGTATATGTACGTTTGCGAGTATTGTATGAGTTTACAACCACTTTAAAGCTGAACTGCAAGCAAATATAATATGTCCAAATGCTCTTCTTTATGAAAGGATCCCATTCATGTGATTTACTTTAACCACTTTCCTACTGGGCACTTTTACCCCCTTTGTGCCCAGGCCAATTTTCAGCTTTCAGCGTTGTCGCACTTTGAATGACAATTGCGCGGTCATGCAACACTGTACCCATATAAAACTGTTATTTTTTTAACGCAAATAGAGATTTCTTTTGGTGCTATTTAATCGTCACTGGGGTGTTTTATTTTTTTTTTGCACTATAAACAAAAAAGAGCAAAACATTTGAAAAAAAAAGTTTTTCTTTGTTTCTATTATAAAAGTTTGCAAACAGATAATTTTTCTCCTTCACTGATGTGCGTTGATGAGGCTGCACTGATAGGCAGCACTGATGGGCACTGATGAGTTGGCACGGAAAACCAGCACTGATGGGCACTGATAGGCTGCACTGATGAGATAGCTCTGATGAGGCAGCACTGGTGGGCAT